TCACCATTATTTTCTTCTAAACTGAGTATATTGTAATAAGAAAAAATTCCAAGAAAAAAAGCATATTTTGATTCATATTGATTTTCTTTAAGCCAGTTAAATATATCAACGGTAGTTTGAGTAGTAGCAGCAATACAATTTTTAATAAATTGTTTCGTTTCTTTAAAATCTTCAACCTGTATTTTAATCAAAAATATGAATAATTTATCTATTAAATTAATCATTTCTGATTTTTATAGTTGAACAAAATAAACGAGAAAATTTTAATTTTATTCGGAAAATCGGTCTAAAATTCTTTCTTAAACAATTAACTTAGTTACAAAATACTAAATGGGTAAAAAATATATATATATTTATTATGCTAAAATCGGTCTAAAGTCCTTTCTTAAACAATTGATTTGGTTGCATAATACTAATTAGGTAAATAAAAAAATATTTATTTATTTACTCCGAAGTATCATGCAATGTACGACAGAATTTGCAATTTTCTTTGTAGGAATGCATAATTTGTGATCATGTTGATCAACATTGTACATGAGTGTGTTGACTAGAATTAAAATTAGTATTGTAGTCAGGATTAGGTAGTGCCGGTATCCACCAATATTAGAAATTATATCGATATACAATAAATTTTCTAATTCAAGCCTTTTTGGAAATAATTAATGCAATATTTTTTTGGCCACCGAAATTATTTTTTCATTATCTAATTAAGTAATATACGACTCTTTATGTAAGGTTATTTTTTAGGATGGTAACGGTCGATCATGGTAAGGGCCGACCGACCGGTTGACCGGCTTATTAGAAATTTTGAATTGAGCACAATGTGATAAATTTAATCTTTTAATATAACTAACCTTGTTCTCATATATATATTTGGTTTTAATTATTTTATTTAGGCTTACTTCCCCATGCCAATTCCTTCTCATTAAATGTTTAACTTAATACTTTGTGGCGCAATTTTATTGCGTACTTCAAACATTAATTAAAAATTAAGATTTATTTGGGTCATTTAGATCATTTGGATTCAAGAAAATCCTGGTTTGATCTCGGCATAATCGCATAATCGTTTATTTATTTTTTATTCGTTCTTTACAAATTTTTTTAAATAAATAATTTGATTATAATATTTTGTTTTCAAAGTTAATTATTTTGATAAGTTTTTTAAAAGCTGCATTTTAGACAGAATGGGTAAAGAACAACATAATTACCGTAATTTTTTTTGGCTGCGCAAAGGCAGTTTATTGGTCATGCATACGAAAATATACATTACCAGTTGCTCTGTCAAATCCCGATTGCTTTGTTTCAAATAAAGCAAAGTTATGCCGAGGTTTCCTAAAAATGCTGTAAATTTTGACCAATCGATCCATTGACAAAATGGGATTAATTAAGGCCGTTTCCTTCAATGTGCGACTCAGGTTTTTCACGCTCAAACTTTTTTTTAGCCAATCAAATCATTCAATAAATCAATGAAGGGGGTGCGTGGGAACGGCCTAAATTTATTCAGAAGCACCCATTTATTTATCTATGTAACGGGTCGTTTGACCTTTAAAATGACCAATGACTTATGACTGGTCATTTGAATTTTTGGTCATTGGCAGCTTACAATATTCTGCATATGATTATTATCGATTTTAAAATGCGAGTTTATTTTTTCAGAGATTATGTCATTAGATCAATGAAATTCATCATACTGTATTACAGACAGTTAAAAATTCAAATTATTTTTATACGCGCAGTGCGCGCATTATCAGTTACTCATAAAAGTTTTTTTTGCGCACCCTATAAAGTCGTATGCGCTATTATATGTAAAAGTAAAATAATAGTCAGCGCGGAAATTTAAAACGATGAAAGTTGCGCAAAATTGCGCCGATCCAATTTTCATCACTGATTACAGATACTTTTTTTCAAAAAGTATGTGTTGGCATTTGCCGCAGTAATTTGCAAAGTCTTACACTATTTCAAAAGTCACGAGACAGCCGATAATGACCGAGAACATTTATAAAGATTTAGAAGCCCCTGAACGTAACGATAATTCAAATTTGTATTATTCTTATAATTTTATCATATCATTAGGAATAAAAACCAAAAATCATTTTAAATAAAATGTACTATATATAAATTAATTGATCGAGATTTAGAAAAACTCAACCAAATATTTTATATCGTTGCATGTATTGAAATCGAATGAGAAATAATTCGTAGTCACTATAAAATTTCGCAATTCAGTCAGGTTTAAAGTTGCACAATTTTTAGCTTAAAAAAATATTATTTCATCACCACCAGAAGCAGTTTCTTCGAAATTTGGACCCACGAAAAGGAATCTTTGGATCAGATTTAAGAGCGTTAAAAACCTCCATATCTAGTTCTTGGAGTAAAATTTGTCATCGATTGCGTGCAGTGATGGCAAGAGACCCAAATGACCTCAAATGACTCAAATGACTGGTCATGGGTCATTTCAACATTATGACCAGGTCATTTAGTTTTCATAAATATTTCAAATGACCAGGTCATTCGAAGGTCATTCAGAGGTCATTTCAAAATTGCCAAATGATCTGGTCATTTGCCATCACTGATTTCGTGTGTCCCACAAAAGTTTAAAATAAATTTTTATAAAGAAATTAAACTTTTATTTTTAATAAAAAGAAAAAAAGTAAATTAAATTGCATGAATATACAGTAATTGCATTTATTTCAGCAATAAGGTTGGGTAGGATTGTATTCAGCGAGAATTCTAAAAACGGGAATTTCAATTAGTATCATTTATAATATTTTTAAAAAGCAGAATCTTCTTGATTTCCCCCTATTTTTACTAACCATCAGCAGAATCCTGTAGTCGTTCAGAACCAATAGTCAAAGGTACTGGACCTGATCCTTCAATATTAACAAGATTTGGGTTCACCAGTTCCTTGTGGTGAAGGAGAAGAATAAAATAAGGTAACAAAATTGCAATAATCAAAGCAAAAGTAATAGATTTCATTTTTATTGTAGTTGAAATATAAAGGGTAAAAAGGAAAAACAGCTAATTTTCTTCGATTCTATGGCCTTTTTTTTTTTAAAAAAAAAAATATTTTCGCACACCATTCGCGTATGTCTGCTCTGACGTGACTTTTATGAAAGACTAGATTTTATCGATCGATAAATTTAAAAAAACTTAGCCTCAAAAATTTTAAAGTGATTTTAGGCTAAGTGTCCTGTTATTTTAATTGAAAAATTAGCAAATTTCTTGTTAAATTATTTATCATCGTATTCCTTAAAATGATCAAATGCATGGATTAGAAATTTTAATAAATATTTTGGTTAAAAATTAAGAATTAGTCATTTAGGAATAGGCGAAGTTAAACGAAAAATTTTAAAATGAATAACTATCACAAAAGTATACGTAAATTTATTTTAAAATAAAAATGAAAATAAGAATAAAAATAAAAGACTGGCTAAGTGAAAAAAGAAACATATCACCATTAAATCTTATCTAGTCACTAATATTCTTAAATTCGATCCTATTAGAAAGATAGCGATTATTACACAATTGCAATCACACATGGTTTCGATTTTTTTCATGCTTGGTGGTTAGATTACGAACCAACATTTTTACACGAAACAAAAAAAAAAAGACATACTCTTGAATTATATTCTTTCCATCCACGTTTCAAAACGAAATCAATTTTAACGTTTATAATTACGTGAAATAATGGTTAATTCGAACAAATACCAACTTTTATCGGGCGGTATGATTGCCCGATTTGTTAAATAGTCTAATTCAGTTTCCATCGATAAATATACTCGTCGTGTTTTAATATCATGTCATCAGGAATTTTTAAGTTTATCGGTAATTATCACATTTAATTAACGAAATCAGACAAATTATCTAATTAAACACCGATAAAAAATTGATATCACGTTGCTTTATAATAATAATGTATAAAATATGTACGATATTCCGATCGGGGTTAATTAAACGTCATTTTTAATGAAGTGATAAAAATGAATAAAATCAGGTTACGGGACCCCTCCAACAAAAATATTTTTGATTCATATTATGTATGAACTTTATTTAGTTAAATTTTTATAGTCGATTATCTTTTTAACAAGTCAAGCAATTAGGCCCTCTTTTTTGTGTAACATCAGTCAAAAAATCTAAAATTAAATTTATTCAAAAAGTTAAAAAAAGTTTCGGACCCAATTAGAATATTTATTTCAGCGAGTACAGATTATCTTGGAGTAAATGGAAAAAATTTTAGGACAATTAGGTTTATGCTTATTCCTTGTGATAATGTTTATGTCCAATGCACTAACTATAAATTACGCCCTATAAAGTACAAAATCTATTTAAAATGATTTTGTCACGTGAATATAGGATTACCAAGCGTAAAATATTTTTATTTTTTTTTTTATTTATTTAAGTAGACAAACAATATATACAGTATATGCACCTGACATTTATAATATTGGACACACAACTTTCCAAATGATCTATTTCATTTAGATTTCGCTTGCATATCTGGCAATCTCATTTGACATATTTGGTCTGTATACTAGAAGGATTCTTGAATCTTATGACCTGGTCTATGCATCAAGTGACATAAGTTGGTTGCACACGCACAATACTTTACAAAATTTTTGAATTTATTCTATCATGGAATCTTCCATCTTTCACGGTCTTTATTTGTCCAATCATGGTTTAATGATTCGAACTATCAAGTTTCTTTTACGGTCAATTTCCTAACATTGAACTCGTATGCTCAATAAAAATGGAAGCAGATAACGTCTTATGATCTATAGATCCTTCTTATCAAAACTGATTGTATTCAGAGTCTAAACAACAAAAAAAAAAAAAGAGAAAAAAGAAACAGATTTTTTGAAAATTTAATATAAAATGACCAATACTTTGACATTATCATTTTCTTTTGTTTATAAAAGCGCAAAAAAAAAAAAAATAATAATAATATAAAAAATATAAAAAAAAATAAAAAGTTCAATTGCACGTAAAAAAAAGCTATGAAAATGAAAACACTTATCGTATTTCTCATGTTGCACCGTACTGTACACCAATTTAAATAATTTTTATATTGCTTTTACATAAAAAATTTAAACAATTTTTGATAAATATTAGGTACTTATGATCACTGCTCAGCAATTGAAGTTGCCTTTACATACGATTAGGATTCCTGCAGGCAGCATGTGGGGAGTATGCTCCAAATCTCCAATGGTTGCGAGTGCGTATTGAATATTTTTTACTTATAATATTGCACTCAATTTAATTGACAAATTTTTTTGTTAGGCTACGCTATAAAGTTAGCCGATCCAAACGCCATATTAGATCCAACAAATTATGATGGTATAATTGAACCATTAGAATCAAAATTAAATGTTAAAGGAATAGGTTTTATTGCGGCTGTTGGTAATTTGATGGATGAATTTGTTGAAGAATCACTTTGCACCGCTGCAACAGAACCTTATGAAGTATCAGCTTGCGCGAAAGAATTCAAATTTCCTACTGGAATTTCTGGAACATGGTGTTTGATCATTGTTAACCGATTTCTCAATTACCAAAACATCGATGTTGTTTATTCGTTTACTCAAAGTGTGTTTATGGAAGGTTCATATAGAATAGGTGATAACGTAGAATTCGCCTTAAAGAAAAATGATCTATTTGCCTTCTCGTTAGATGAAATTAACAATATCAAAAAAAGAAATTTTAGACGTAGTAAACCACTTCGTCTTGAAAGCTCCTTTTAGTTTATCATTTAATTTGTATTAAATTTTTTTCATCATTATTGTATTTTGATTATGTTATATATAATTATTTAAATGTCATTTTAATAAAAAACATTGAAAGATTACTTTTTTTCTGTCTACATTATGCATAAATTATTAAATATTGAAATTTTAAAAATCCCTTTACATTTTCAAGTTCGACTTAAAAATTTTTGATACGAGTTGTAGGAAACTCCTTTTTATTAGTATTGAATAATGTTAGCGCAATGATGTCATCTATAGATAGACAATGGAGACTGTACTCATTAAATATTTCTTTTTAATTGACTCGCCTATAATTTCGAAATTATTAATTAACAATCAACAAATAAAATAAATATAATTAAATTAAATAAAAAAGAAAATTTAAAAAAAAAATTTTATATACCAATATATTGTTTAATTAAGTTAAAAAATTTTGACAATTTTATAACATTAAGCGTTGAATATTGGTATTTTTTTTTTTTTCATCATTTAACAAAAGATTCTCGTTTTACATAATTAATACAAAAGATACAAAGGGTTTTCTTGTTATTTTTATTTGCTTTTTATTCATAACGAAGCATTTCAAACCATGGAGTTTAACTTTTCCTTCTGCATTGTGCTCTTTGAAGAAATTTTTTGCGCAATGATTATCATTCAAATCCCCTTTCATATTGTTGATCAAACGGACTGTGAAACTTTAATGGACACAATGGCGTATAAATGTGATAACTTTTATTTATTTATTTTCATAACAAACAAATAATACTTAAACAAATCTATGTGAAATACTACAAATAATGATCTTTCATTATAGCAATTAGATAGAATTGGTTCTTCAAATGAACCGATTGTACTTTTCGGAAATTTTACTGCGTCATAAGATCATAATCATCTGTATTTTTAACAAAACTTATGAATTTGATATTGATACCACAATTTTTTTTTAAAAGGATGATATTAAAGAATAATTTCTTTTAGAATTTTAATGGATCGGATTTTCAATAACGATAACGATTTCTAGTTCGTGATATATAAATCGTTATGTATTCCGCGAAAATATCAATGAAAGAATCGTTAAGATGACAATATAACACTTTGTTTTATCCCAAAAGTACAGAATATTTATTTTACGTAAAATATGGATTGGAATCGCTTCTACCAAATTAGAATCGTTAATATATTTTAATGATAAAATTAGTGCAATTTCCCAAAATAATGCTCCAACACTGTAAATATTAAAAGTTAATTTTTTTTTCTTAAAAAAGAAAGAAAATTTTCTTATCTCGATCTTGACTTAAAACTTCTACTTTCCTGTAAATTTCTTAAATTTCATTATTATTATCATATATTTATTTTTCCGCTAACTTTTTTAGATTATGCGATATATTTCTTGCATTATCTGAAATTGTTTTACTTATATCAAGATTTACTATTCTGCATGAAAATAAAATATAACTAAAATACAGTATAACTAAAAATATAAAAATAAAAAATAAACTTAAAAAAAAAGAATTTACTTATTTTCTGAAATACTGAATAAAAAATTAAATCGAAATTAAAAAATAAATACAAAAAATAAAAAAAAAAATAAATAATCGAAAAAAAAGAAAGAAAAAGAAAACTTACATTAAACAACAGTCTGAATGTGATCAAAATCCTAATAAATAAAAGAAAAGAAAGAAATAAAACGACAGAAAATAAAAAAAAAATAAAACTATTTTAACCAATCACAATATGCCAATTTTTTTTTTTTTTTACAATTTCGTAAATACAGATAACAAAAAATGGTGTCTGAAATTGGAATCTCAATTTCAGACACTTGATCACCTGAATTCAACTTCAGACGAAAATCAATTTCAGTCACAAAATTCAAACCGAAGCATGTCTTAATGATGAACAAATTATTAATTTAATTCAAGATGAAGAAAATGAAAGTGAAAATGAGAGTAATGTAATAGTAGTATCGGACAATGAAGGAATTGAAGCATTTTAAAACAATTATTAATTATTTTGAACAGCAAAATGATCCAGCATATCTTTAGAAAATACTTGCGAATTATTAAAGCTAAAGTGTTTAATTCAAAACAGCACATTACACTTGATGGTTTTGGATATAATATTCATTTATTTTAGTAATTAGTATTTTTACTTAAAATAAAGGGATCATATCACATAAAAAAAGATTATTCGTTTTGATTTATACGGAATTTTATATGTAATTCATTTTTTGATAGTAAGCGAAATTAATTAGATCAATTTGAAAAAAATTATTGATTTGTTTTAGATTGATTTCATCTTTATTTACAAATTTTGTATTACAGATAATATTTTTTTGTTATGAGCATTATAGATTAAAGATTTAATGAATTTTTATATTTTTTTTCATATATGCGTTGGTATAAGTTAAAAATAATTTATTTAGCTTAAATTTGAAATGTGATAACTGAGCTTTCCATTCGCGATTTCACGTTGACTCGTATTCTATAGAATTCACTTAGTAGAAATACCCGAGTTTTTGTAATACGTACTATTTTTTTAATAAAAAAATGTATTTTTACAGTATGATTTTTACATTGAAGAATAAAATTAACATTCATTTACTTTCAATAAAATTTATTTTATAAATCAAAATTTTATATAGATGTGACTATAAGCACTCCCCTTTATAATCACACCAAAGGATGTGATGATAGAGGGGACGACTGTACTTTCGGATAGTTGTTATATCTTGCGATCTACTGTATTGATACGCAAACCGTATGCATTATTTAAACAAATTATTAGGTTTACCCATGACTTCAGGTTTATAATTATACCCTCCGAATTCACAATCGTTGTGATATATTAACTGATTAAAGTAATAATAACCAATACCAACAAAAGCACCTTCAACAGGCTTCTGTTAAGCAACAATTATCAAGATGATTGATCTGCATAGTTGCAAACGCAACTGTTGTTTTGGCAATAAATTCTACAATTTTTATAATATCTGGAGTACCAAAGTTCTCTAATTCGACGCTCACATTCGCAAGTGCTGCAAGCCAATAAGATGAAGGTGTATAAACATCACTTCCTCCATTAACCAAATCGGGTTAATTTTAGCAAGGCTTTGATAATAAAGTTCGTCTTAATGTGTGTTCCTTTGATGTCAATTGATCTAAAAAAAAAAAAAATTGAGAATCATATGAAGATTTATTTTTTTTAAATTACCATCCACTTGATAACAGTATATTCTTACCAGAAACTGAATCTACCACTTTGAGTAAATCCATTATCCGCTGTTGCAATTATAGATAATGCTCCTTCATTTTCAAAATTCAAATAAGTTCCCAGTACGATGTTTTGAGATCGAAAGAATAGAATATATGATCCGATACAGTTCATTTAAATAATTAAAATTTATAAAGTTCAAATAAAATAAAAAACAATTCCGATTATGAAAATTGTAAAGGAGATTGATTATATTATATTTGTACTGTATGTGATCTTAAATGTTGAATTTCAACGATTTTATTTATTTATTTTTTTTTTTAAATAAAAAGGTAAATAAAAAAAAAATTATGATACCGAAATGGCTCAAAGTAATATACAGTATATAAGGCTTGCCTGATTTTTCGACAAGGAAAAAAAGAAAATATTTCACTCATGAAGAAACGTTACTATACATTCTTTTACATTATCGGTGATGTCCCCTTTGGTCAAGGATGTTCAAACTTTAAAGCTGTTAACAATGGCTATATTTGGACGATCGTACCGCCTTTTCAGTTTTTTTTTTACTTTATTTTATTCTTATATTTTAATATTAAAATTATTAGACATAATAACATTTTAATTACTTTACTTTGCATTACGAAAATTCTATGTCAGAATAAATTCATAATAATTTTAGTGACTAATTAATTATGATTTAAATTTAAATTCAAAAAAAAGCACGAAGAAATTAACAAAACATTGATGCTGCAGTAAAGGCTTTTTATACTTTATTTTTATTCTGATTATTGCTCCCTTTTTAAGGCATTTTTTTCGAGTTCGTAATAAAAGTTCAATTCAGGTATTTTCTATAATTCTATTTAAAAATTATATATATATAAATTTATACCTAATTATTATCTCAAAAAAGTTTGATAGCGCTCTTTTATTTTTTATTTAGTCTTCGTGTTTTTATAAGTTTTTTTTTTTTTATTTCCTTATTTGTTTTTTAGGACTATACATTCGTTATTTTCTCTTACAGGTTGGATCTCTTTCGCAATACTAGATAAGGCTTTATCTTATTTTTAATTCTTTTTGTCATTAACTGTTTCTATCACTTGAGGTATAACATTGAATGATTTATTATTTTACTTAGGATTTTGTATACTTTAGTTCCGCTTTCAGGTTTATTTTGATTACTTCATTTAAACAGTTTCTATTTTTTTTTTTTTTTTTTTTTTTTTTTTTTTTTTTTTTTTTTTTTTTATTTTTTTTTTTTTTTTTTTTCGTCTTTTTTTTATTTTTTTTTTTTTTGTAATTAATTAATTGCT